TACTTAAAAGGAACCCAAATGGAAACCTCCGATCATGCTTATGGGTACAGTTTATACAAGAAAGACAATCGGGGTTCAGGCGCAAAGAAAAGCCCATGGCCCCACATCAAAAGACTGGTGAGTGAATGTACATGTGTTTTAAGTTAAAAGTAAACTGCTGAAGGTGTACGTGTGTCATCTATTTGGTTTCCATGCTTCGTTCTACTTTTGTAATTAACTAGCTAACCATCCTGGTCAGGAAAGATAAAATTTCAGCCTTATCTGTTGTACATAAAAGGTAGTTATTAATTTATTGATTTACTCTTCAACAAATGTTTATTAAGCATCAACCAAGAAGTAGTTTAGATGTCAGTTATACAAATTCTGGCCTGCCTTATTAATACCATGAAGTTTAATACTTGTGATCCAGGCCTGCCTCCCTTCCTTTTGCTCCTCTTCCCTTCCTCCTCTCCTTCTCCTTCCCTCTCCGTCCTCCACCCCCTCCTCCCCATCCTTTTTCTCCCCATTTCCTGATCACTGGCACGGGGATATTGATTGACTCCATGACTCCGCCCAATTATCACATATTTCTTTACGTTTGAGTAAAGAAATTTGATCAGTTATAACTTAAATATCGCTACTTGGGGCATTCTCTTTCTCACACACACAAACACATTTTCTTAACCCCTTTCTTTCTTCCTTTCTGCATTCAGGATCTTTTTCAGTTGCCCCCAAGAACAGCCACCTTTCTCTTTCTCATTTCCTCAGTCCTTTTTGGTTGTATTTCTATGTGTAGTAGCTGACAGGCACTAAAGTAATAATACTTTATTGAAGTATGTACCAAGGAAAAGAAAAACTTTAAGTTGCAGAAGACTAAAACCAGACACTTGACCTAGGGCCATCAACCTGTAAAACCCTTAAAATAATCCAGAAGACTCCCTCATAAAAACACCATCTAACTCTGTAATTGCTCTAATTACATCTGTAATTCCTCAAAAACCATGGTTCAAAATAAAAATCACCAAAGTCAATTTTATTTCCTGCCAGCTTATCCACTTGTTTGGCATTTGATAGTTCTGCTTTCTTCTCTGTTTTCATTCGAAACATAAAATATGTCAACCATACGAAAGCACTCCTTGAAGTAAGGAAGAGCACCTGGTCAAGTAGACTGGCTCCAGAGATTTTGTTGGCTGGCCAACTCAGGTAGCCATCAGCATTTATTGTACTGTTCCAGGGATAAAATTGTGTTTCCTTCCTATCACTCACTGAACAAAGAAAGAAAGATGTAATTATGCATCCAATAAAAAAGGTGCATGATTTGAAGCAAGCCTTTAAGAAATATAAACACTCTGAGCAAGGCAGAGATACTCTTGCATCTTTTGTTTCTGTATCATTTAGTGCCATTTCCTTTCTAATTTTTAACAGATGACAAATATTCCTTAACTAAGATTAGCCTACCCTTCGGTCCACATGGATTTTAATTGCCCTGAATTTTTCATAGCATCCAGAGCTTGTCCAAGATTCAACGATAATCCCCTAACCAGATCCACTGAGAGTTAAAATCTTAGTGTCTATTCTGCTACTAGCTTTAACTGTGATTTCTTTTATTACTACGCACTCTGAGCAAGGCAGAGATACTCTTGCCATGTTAATGCCCAAGGCTTCTGTCTCTTTCAATGAGGAGGAGGCTGGATTTCTATTTCTCTGTGGTGCGGCAAAAGTTGGGGAGGGATTTTTAAACGAAATCTCTGTATATCAGAATTGTGACTCCCATTAAATGTTCTTTCTGCGCAGGAATTTTCTTGACAGCTAACTCCTAATTTTAATTTGTTTTTTCTTTAGGTAGAGAAATTCTCCAGCTTTCCCAATTGATCTTCATGCATTGAATTGCCTTGATAAATATTAAAAATTCCTTAACGTACGTGTGTGTGTGTTTCTCATCTACCAGTTTTGTCAGACCTCTCATTCTTCAAGTAACCATAGCCCTTTTCTCCATAACATTCTGAAAAGCATTTAAACAAAAGGCCCTCTAGTTTTGCTTCTTTTTCTCTTAAAAATATATTTACATGGCCCTCAAAACAAGGATGCAAAATGGTTGATGTGCACCTTGTTGATGAAGAAGGGAGTCTGATGGAAATCTCAAGCTGAGATCCCCTAAAGAATCAGCTGTCCTCATAATTCACATTTTCTTTCTCTAGTACTGACAGCAGAATTCTTGGCAAAAGGTCCTGCTGAGCAGCCCTGTTAAACAATCCCTGCAGCAGGACCCTCGTGCTAGCGGCCTGTCCAGGCTTCCAGAGCTCTACCACAAAGATAGCATCTAGCTTTCAACTACTCCCATCCTGCTAATTTCTCTTCTGTGGGCAATTTCCTTGAAACAATGCATGGTTTAGAGGTGAGTTCCCCAGGCCTCCCACAGAGGGAGATGACCTCCATACCACACACCCTGCTTAGATTATTACAGGAGGCTAACTGTTTGCAGGGGCATTCAGGTTTTTCCCGGACATATTATTATTATTATTGTTATTCCCGGACATAGCTACTAATACTTAGGAGGCAGAGGTGGAAGATCGCATGAGCCCAGAAGATCAAGGCTACAGTGAGCTATGATTGCACCACTGCACTCCAGCCTGGGTGACAGAGCAATATCCTATCTCTTAAAAATTAAAGAAAAAACAGGAAAAAAAAAAAACCCAAAACATTAAGAAAAAACTTTGTCAAAAGGACTTCCTCCCAAGAAACTCCCTGCCTGTGCGGCCTGGGTGGCCACATTTTTGAGGGTCGTCAAGCACTTGTAGGGGCCTTTTTGATGACAGCCAGACTTACACAAGCTTAGTACATGGTGGACTTACCTTTCATAATCCACTTGCCCTCTTTGAACCAGTTCAATAACTGGCTGTGACCTCTACGTCTTTGTCCCACATGGGGCCCTGGTTGGTCCTGGTGCTCAAAACGCCATGGTCCTACAGCGACCCTGTGGGACAACTGCATTGCTTACTACCCTATGGTTTTACAATAATAATTTGGAACTTCCACAAGCTAGATGCATATTTCCTGCCTTGAAATACCTTTTAAACTCTTTTTTAAACGATAGTTTTAAAAAAGCACACATGCTAGGCCGGGTGCAGTGGCTCACGCCTATAATCCCAGCACTTTGGGAGGCCGAGGCGGGCAGATCACCTGAGGTCAGGAATTCGAGACCAGCCTGGCCAACATGGAGAAACGCCATCCCTACTAAAAATACAAAAAAAAATCAGTCAGGCGTGGTGGCAGTTGACTGTAATCTCAGCTACTCCAGAGGCTGAGGCAAGAGAATTGCTTAAACCGTAAAGTCAGAGCCTGCAGTGAGCCGAGATTGCGCCATTTTACTCCAGCCTGGGTGACAGAGCGGGACTCTAAAAAAACAAAAGCACATATGCTAATTTGTACTAGATGCCAATTTCTATCTTGAAGAGACCACCAAACGTTAGTTTGGGCTGTCCTACTCATGGCTCAATATCACACAGCCTTCAGAATGAAGCCTTTTCTTTCTTTTCTGACCATGTCTGACATGCGTGCGAATATGTCATTGATAAAGAGGTATGTAGTTCTCTGTGGGTATTTGGATTGCAGGCCTACATACATCTGCTCATGTAAAATTATACAAGCAACTACATACTAAAGCTCATACACATGTACTGTACTCAATTAAACGCCAGGCATTAGCCCAAGGGCATCTGCTTGGCCAATGCTCTAGCCCTGGTTGGCCAAACACCTGTGGCACCATCATAATAACATACTACAGACCATTTTACTTTCTGTTATAAGTTCTAGGCATTTGGGACTAATGTATAGTTATGGAAAAAAAGACTACAAGATATGGTAATGACTCAACTTTGAAACAAAACTTTCTTCCTTCCCCTCATTCCAGATTCACAATTTATTTAAATCGCTGCAAAGTAAACCAGATGCTGAAGCAGATAATTAAGCTGACAACGATAAACCCTGATTTCAAATGTTGGTATTTATCAAAATTAATGCATTGATCTCATAATGTATAAACAGTATAAATTTAAACTTATAAATTTATATTAATAAAATACTGTCATTGTCTCTTTTATATATTGAGATCTTGCATAGGATTTTGATGGAAGAATTTTTAAAAGGGTCTGTCAGCCTTTTTAAAAAGTTTGAAAATAACCTCGATAACACAGATTACAGTTCCAATGCTCAGACTCCTTATTCTAACTGCATATAAAGGAAGGTGACAGCCGTGATGTAAGCTCTCTGAGCACTGGTTTTCTGATCTACACAAAAGGGATAAGAGTACTTACTCAACTTGCCATGCATGGTTGATATAAAGATTGAATTTTAAAACGTGGTTGAAAGTCAAAGATGTTTTGCACATGAGGGACAAGAGAGAGCACCTTTTAAAAATACCATATTCAAACAAAATCTATGGCGTTGCAACCAGAGAATGATTTTTTAAAAGTTTTTTACATAATTCTATTACACAACCATGGTAAATAAATATCCTTTGATCTGACCCCACCTCCCGGGTTCAAGTGATTCTCCTGTGTCAGCCTCTTGAGTAGCTGGAATTACAGGCGCCTGCCATCATGCCCAGGTAATTTTGCATTTTCAGTAGAGATAGGGTGTCACTTCATTGGCCAGGCTGGTCTCAAACTCCTGACCCCAGTTATCCGCCCGCCTCAACGTACCAAAATGTTGGGATTACAGGCATGAGCCACTGCACCCAGCTTAAAAAAATTTTTTTGAAGCCTAGAGAAGGTCTCCCAGAAGATAGTAGCTTGACTTAGACCCCAGACCACTCAGCACAGCACACAGCTCCCAAGGCCTTGGAGACCCTTCTGAATAGCAAACTATTACCCATCTGGACGTATTATATCAAAAATATCAGTCTTGATATAATATGTCAGTTGTAGAGCCTTAAGATCACTTACTTAATAAGAAACAATATAATAAAATGCAAACATCAAATTTCTTATCCTCCTGTTTTTTAATAAAGGTTCTTCACTTACCTGAAAGACCCCATGAAATGGGAGACCATGATGCTTGGGGTTCAGGCAAAAGCAAGGGTTCTTCAGAGACGTTGCCAATTTCCTGCAACTGGGAGTCACGTTCAAGTCCTACAGAAATGAGCAATGTTATTTTTAGCATCATTTACTTAGGAAGATTCTAGATGCATACCTGGGTTAATGAAACCAGAAATGAGCAAATGGAAGATAAGATATTAAAACAAAAGTGCCCAGTTATGGTTACCAGGATTTCCCAACTGAAATCCGATTATATATGAACATGAGGTAACAAGTTTACAAGGCAAACAGCACAGTGCCTGACCCACAGAAGATGTTCAGTAAATCACTATCAGAACGATTACCTCAGACTCTGAGCTAATAGGGGAGCTGGTGCTAGGCACACTTGTGCTGGAAATGCAGCCCCATCTATTACAGGTTATTTGACCATAGATGTCATGTCACATTCATGTTTGGTTTCCCCAACTGCACAAGTTGAGTAAAAATATCAACTAACAATAAAAAGAAATAAAGTACTCATGAATGCAACAACATGGATGAACCTTGGAAACATTATATTAAGTGAAAAAAGCCAGATACAAAAACAGCATGCATTGTATGATTCAATTTATAGGTAATGCCCAGAATAGGCAAATCTACAGAGACAAAGTAGATTCGTGGTGGCCAGGGGTTGGAGGTTGGGGGTTGGGAGGAGTTCATGGGAGGGTACAGTACTTTTTCCTGGAGTGACAAATGTGATCTAAAATTAGATTGTGGTGATGGTTGCACAATCCTGCGAATATACTAAAAATCACTGAATTGTATACTAAATTGTGAAACATACAAGATATAAATTATATCTCAATTAAATTTGTTTTTAAAAATACTGTCTCAAGAATTCCTGTAGGTGGTTCTAAAGATTAAATGAAGGGATGCATATGACATGCTTAGACAGTGGCTGGTGCAGACTCACCCTCAGTAAATAAATGGTAGCTCTGATGATACTGAGAGTTTGGATACTCGTCCCCTTCAAATCTCATGCTAAAAACCAATTCCCAGTATTGGAGGTGGGGCCCACTGGAGGTGTCTGGTCATGGGGGTGGGTCCCTCATGAACGTCCTCATGCCCTCCTTGTGGTAATGAGTGAGTTCTCACTCTATTGGTTAGGGTGAGATCTGATTGTTAAAAAGAGCCTGGCACTTCCTCCCTTCTCTCTTGCTCCCTCTCCTGACATGTGACACACTGGCTATGCTTCCCCCCTGTACCATGATTGAAAGCTTCCTGAGGTCCTTACCAGAAGCAGATGCCAGCCAGCACCATGCTTCTTGTACAGCCTGCAGAACTGGGAGCCAAATAAACCTTTCTTTATAAATTACCCAGTCTTAAGCATTCCTTTATAGCAACACAAAATGAACTAATACACTGATGCAAGAACAGGTCAAGTAATACTTAAAATATGTTGTCACAGTGAAAAGAGGTAGGTAAAAACTCTCACCCATAAATACTACTTCATTCAGAAGCCCTCGCCAAACAGAACTTCTAAACGTTGTCAAGAGAGCCAATAGTTTCAAAGGCAAGTTATAAATAGCGTCAGAAATCGTGGGATGGACGAATTGGTTCCAATGTAATAAAATTTGAGGATAAAACAGAGCATGGCCCAGTCTTCTCTCCTGCTGCATCTCCTTGAAGGGAAAGACAAATGAAGCAAAGTTCCAGGGTGTGCCAGGGATCCGTTCTAATAAAGGTGGAGTTCTCTAAGATCATTATTTTCTTGTTTCTTCCAGGGACTTCAGACTTCCTTCTCACCAGAAAAGGTGGGTGGGAAGATAAATGACAAGGATTTACGAAAAGATAGTCATGAGAACCAGACAATTCCATTCTCAGGGGAAAAGAACAAAGATTTTTAAGTTACCACAGGCCCTTTCTGGGGGTTATTAAGAAAGTAAAGCCTCTTAACTGTAATCATCCCTAATTAGCCATCAGCAACTCATGAAATTACTCCTGCTATTGAAGACCCTTAAATTCTTGGCTCTCAGTCAGAAATTACACTGAGATCCACCAGGAAGAAGGCCAACAATTGCAAATTGGAACAGTTAAAATGCCTCTGAATCAGAGGTACGGTCTTCTTGCTCTTGGCTGCAGAACAGGTCTGCACCAAGTCGGGGGATTTAACTTGGAAGTCAAATGAAGTCTTTGCCAGGTCCCAGATAACCATCAATTAATCAGTAATTATTTACTCAATAGGTGGTATGCTCAGGTCCTCTCCAGTGCTGTGGGAATCCAAGGTCTCACTTTTACGATCTAGCTTAGGAGAGTAAGATTACAGGAGATGGGCCACGGGGAGAAGGACGGTGTCGTTATCCAGAACAACACGGGGGAAACAGTGTTCCTTCAGACCCTGAGTACAACCCAAACTAGCACAAGAAGGAGAATCGCTGTAGAGGAATGGTCTGGCATCAGCAAGGTAGATGGGACTTAAATTTGAGCCTTAGCCTAGGCAGATAATAAATGAGCAATCTAGAATTGTTGGTAAGTGTGCATAATATAATTGGAAAGAAACGGGTGTGAGGCCAGCATTCACTTTTATTAACCAGCTGACCTTGGCAATTAACCTATCTTTCTTCATCTGTAAAAGGGTGGCAGGGGGAGATACTGTTTTTAACTACCTCATAGGGTTTTTATATGAAATATTTATCTAGACTCTATGGCCTGAGTGCTGGACACACACACATACACACACACACACACACACACACATTCGCACACATACACACAGACACACACACACACACACACACACACACACACATATCAAGAAATTACAGCCTTGAGGCTGGAGAGATACATTCTTTAAACAAACTAAAACATAAATAAATATAAAAATAAAATTGTGGTAAGAGCCATGAAACAAAGTCCAAGGTGCTTCAGAAGTGGCCAATGATCAGAGAAGATCCCTCTGAGACAGTGGCCTCTATGTGGGGGCCTGAAGGGTGAGTAGGAGTCAGTCTTGTGGAGACGGGCAGGGGAGCATCCCAGGGAGAGGGAGGCTCTTGTGAGGAGTCGGAAGAAGAAAGTAATGTGGCAGGAGAAGGTGGAAAGAGCTGACTGTCTCCTGGGCAGTCAAGTTCCCAGAACACAGTAAGTGAATGGTTGAGGTGACAAGAGAAAGAGATGTGTCAAAGACAACTCTCTCCAGATTTCTGGGGGACAGAAGGAGCAAATGGAGCTTTTGTGCTTGACATGGTTTGGTTCTGTGTCCCCACCCAAATCTCACGTCAAATTGTAATCTCCATAATCCCCAAATGCCAAGGGAGGGACCAGGTGGAAGGTGACTGGATCATGGGGGCAATTTCCCCCATGGTATTCTTGTGATAGGGAGTGAGTGCCCAGGAGATCTGATGGTTTTAGAAGGTAGTTTTCCCTGCCTTTGCTTGCTCTCTCTCACCTGCCGCCATGTAAGATGTGCCTGCCTCCCCTTCCACCATGATTGTAAGTTTCCTGAGGCCTCCCCAGCCATGCAGAACTGTGAGTCAATTAAATCTCCTTTGTTTGTAAATGACCCAATCACAGGTAGCATCTTTACAGCAGTGTGAAAACAGACTGATACAGTGGTTGTGTCCAGAAAGAAAGGGCAATATGGAAGGAAGAAGGTTTGGGAGAGAACAGTTTTCCCCAGAGTGGGGAGACTTCCTGAACAGATCTGATGAGACATTGGCTGGAAAAGCATCTGAGATTATCAGAACCATTTGAAAATAGATTTGCAACTTTACTGCTGATAGTAGCAAAATAAATAACCAGATATATATTGGAGTTGTATGCTCAAATATTTTTTTACTGATGTAAAATTTTTTTATAATCAGTGCAATCAAAAAAAATTTGAAGCCCACAGCTCTATGTTTTTGGAACAACTTCTTATCAGATTTGATGGGCCACTTCTGCCTCAGGATACGGCTGATGAGCTTGCACTGGTACTTTCCAGCTCCGCCATTCTTGGATCTCATTTGAGCTTCCATGATTAGTATTGTGTTAAATTAGCCCTGCGTTTCAATCTGGGGGTCACTACTCTTGAGTTGGTCATGAAATTAATTTCTCGGGTCAGGAACAGCATTTTTTAATGAAGTAAAAAAAGAATGAAAGAAAAGAGGAAAAAAAAATACCTGCATTCGTCACGCATAGTAAGGGTAAGTATTTCTTACTGTGGATCCTAGCCAGAAAAGTTTAAAAATCCTCATTCTGAAAGACCAGAGGGCAGCAGAGGACTAGAACTATGATTGTGGGGAATTAAACCTAGAAGCCGAGGCAAAGCCAAACGTTATATCGGGCCCTGAAAGGCAGCGCCAGACCAATGTTGATGAGATGGGCAAGAAAGAGCCATTGTACCCGCTGTGGAGCAGGGTCACTGAGTGAGGGTTCCCAAAAATCTGTCTGGCAAGGGTGCACCGAGTGGGCTGAGCACATGTGCTGTCTGCGTCTGTCTGCCTTTTGAGGTTTGCTCCTGTTGATTTATAACCTTTCTTGACAGTGAACAAAAAAAAATTTAACAATCTAGTTTCTGTTAGAACATATGCTCCTTGGGGGATGGAGGCCCCACCTTCTCTCCCCTACACAAAGATCCTACAGGAAGGTTGAACAAGTCACCTGATTTGGTTCAGGCCAAAGTGGCCGTCCCCACACACCAGGAGGAAGCAGAGGTAGGCCCAAGGCTCAGGACAGTGGGGTCAGACACAGGGCCAGCATGATCAAACTAAGGACAGAAAAGGATTCCCTGGCCCGAAACGATGCCATGGTGCCTGAACCATTCTGCCGCCCCTTACACACAGGCCCACGTCTGAGTATCTTTCCTGCCCCTTCTCCTCAGGGCCTGACGGGAACTCCTTGAGAACTCCTTCCTGGAGGAGCCCATCCCACAGAAGACAAGGATCTGCTCAGTCTCTCAAGTTGGGGTTCAGGAAAACCCCACTGCTGGCACCAGTTCAACCTCCTTCCCTCCCTCCTCCCTCCCTCCTACACACTGGAGTGCTGTCTTCTGGAACTCCCACAGCCTAAAGCAACTACCCAAACAAAAGCACTTGTCCCTGGGGAAAGGAAGTGACTCACTGGCAAGGAATGAGGAC